GGTCATCCACAGCCATTCTGTCAGAACATGTGTTTTAAGCAATTTCTGGAAAGTGTAAGAATGGCAGAGGAATAAACACTGCCATTTGCAAACATGACTGGAAGTTCTTAAAGAGAAAAGAGCTTCTGAGGTCCTCCATGGATGTGTTTTAGACACCCCTTGCCCCGGGGTGGCCCCAAGAACCCCGCCTGGCCCCTGTGAGGACTGTGACGCTGCCTGGCTGGCCTCAGTGACCGTGTGCACGACTCTGAAGGGCTGCTGCCCCAGTGGGGGAGCCAGGCACCGGGGCCAATGGCCATGGGGAGAGGCAGGCCGGGGTCGAGGAAACCTGTCACAGGACCACCTGCCGGAGCCCCCAAATCACTCACGCCAGAACCCCGTTACACCCCCCCCAGGCCAGTCACCCCCCCCAGGCTCAGAGCAGGTGGGCAGAGGCGTCAAAGGGCAACGATTCACACAGGTGAGTGAGGGGGTCAACAGGGGTGTCTCAGCCACTCCCCCTTCCCTCCCTAACCCTGTCTCTGTCTCCTTATCTGTCTCTCTCTCTCCTTCCCCCCATCTCTCTCTCTGTCTCTTTCCTTATCTGTCTCCCCCGTCTCTCTGTCCTCATTCCCCCTTGTTTCCGTCTTTCTCTGTGAAGCATTACCAGACCTCTCCTCTTCTGAATCTCTCCTGTGTCCTAAGTGTCCTTCGGTGACAGCGAACACAGCCGTGGGTGACGCAGCGATCGTGTGTCCCCTCGCTGCCGGGCGGTGGGGGGTGGGAGCTGGGCTCTGTGTTAGAAGGACAGCTTACCGGCCAAGACCCCGAGGACAGCGCCCCACAGTCTCAGACCCTCTCTGACTTGGACCCAGACACACCATCACGTGTGGACCCTGGCCCGGTGCCCATGGTGATGAGGCCCCAGCTTCCAGCTCCCCCCACCGCTCTCCGTCTCAGATCTCTGGCCGCCAGGACCCGCCCCGGGTTCCCACAGGCCCTGAGCCAAGGCCAAGCGCCTGGGGGACGTTGGGCACACCGTGGCCTGGCCGCTGTCAGGCGGCTCCCACTGCTGATGCCCGCAGCCCTCCCTGGCCCTCGGTCCTTCCCGGCGCCCCCAGCCCTGCCTGGCCTAGTGACTCTGGCCACCCCAGCTCCCCCTGGGCTGGGCTGAAGTCTGAGCTCTGATGGAGCCTCCAATTTCTGTCCTGTGAGCACGGCCTGCACCAGTGAGGAGCTGGGGACCCCCACCCTGGTAGGGCCGACCCTCACAGCCGCCACGTGAGAGCACTCTGGGGGCCTCTGGGGTCTCAAGCCCTCCCCTCCACCCCCTGGCTCTACCACCTCTGGGCCTCAGTTTCCTCATCTGTAAAATGTGATAATGGCACCTACATGCTGGCTTGTTGTGGGGACTGTGTGCAGGCTGGCCCCTCCTACTCCAGGACACCAGCCACCAGGGTCACAAGTCATTGCTCCTCAGCACCCAGGGTCAGGGACAGGGCTCCATCATGGGGTCTCACCTACCGGATGAGAGAAGTGAGATCATGGCCTGAGGCCAAAGCGGGCCGAGGCCAGCCTTGAGGTGAGCTCGCCCATCAGGCCCCTGTGCACCCCCTACCCTGATGACTCACTTCTGAGCAGACCTCACACCTCCTGCCAGCACAGCCAGGACAGGGCCTTCCTGAGGGGCGTGTGACAGATGGTACAATTAGTGGGCTGTGGGCCGGGAGCAGAGGCCACCATGGGAGGGTTCCTACTACCATCAGGAGGCCATGCACATCATCAGGGGCCGTGGGCATCATGGGGGGATGTGGGCATCGTGGGGGGACGTGGGCATCGTGAGGGGACGTGGGCATCATGGAGGATATTGGCATCATGAGGGGATGTGGGCATCGTGAGGGGACATGGGCATCGTGGGGGGCCGTGGGCATCATGGGGGGATGTGGGCATTGTGAGGGGACGTGGGCATTGTGGGGGGATGGGGGCATCATGGAGGACATGGGCATCATGGAGGATATTGGCATCATGAGGGGATGTGGGCATTGTGGGGGGATGTGGGCATCGTGGGGTCACGTGGGCAACATGGGGTCATGGGGGGCCAGTGAAGTGGGGGACTCCCCGCCTTAGGTGGAGGTCTCGTTTTGGGCTGAGTGCCCAGGAGCCGGGAGATGCGGGAGCAGGCTCCTGGTGCTCTCCCAAGCATCCCCGCTCCTGCCAGGGCTGTGTCCCCACCTGCACCCGCTCCTGGGGAAGCTTCAAATGCTGGGAAGACGTCACCAGACCGGGACGGTGAAGCCAATAGACATGCCTTTGATTAGGGATCAAAAGCACCAGCATCACCTTTTAAGTCTCTTATTTTACGTTTCCATCTGGTTATGGAGTAAAGAGAAGGTACACGCAGAGGGACACAGGAGGGGCCCGCAGGCCTGCAAGGGGCCGCGTGCTCACCAGACAGAGCTTGCAAGCCGGCAAAGGGGAAAGGAGGGAGACCCTATCCCGCCCCCCAGAGGAAACCTCGGTCAGCATCTCAGCATTTCTGAATCACCCTTCACCTCACCGCAGTGACCTCACCCGCCGCCCTTCCCCCAACACCACGGCCACCGCTGTGAGGAGCTGCCGTGGTCACGCTGGGTGCACTGACTGCACCACAGGCCTCCAGACGGGCCACCCCAGACGGGCCACCTGGACAGGCCACCACCTGGGCCACATGGACGGGCCACCCCAGACGGGCCACCTGGACAGGCCACCACCTGGGCCACCTGGACGGGCCACCCCAGACAGGCCATCCCACGTGGGCCACCACCTGGGCCACCTGGACAGGCTACCACCTGAGGCACCTGGACAGGCCACCTGGACGGGCCACCCCAGACAGGCCATCCTGTGTGGGCCACCACGTGGGCCACATGGACAGGCCACCCCAGACGGGCCACCATGTGGGGCCTTCCCTGGCATCTGTTTACGTTGCCTACAATTCTCTGTTACTTCGGGCAGTGCTGTGACGAACTGAACACGCGTGTCAGCCATGGTAATGAGCACGTCCTTAGAACAGACCTCAGCAGCACAGTCGCCGGGGTCAGGAGCTAGGACTCTTGTGAAGGCCCGGATGTGGACTCCCCACACTGCTGGGCGGACCAGCAGCTGTGTTTACAGTTGTCTTGTAGGAACTATGGAAGTTTGGATACATTCAGGTTGGTTTGTTTTTTAAAAAATTTTCGATTATTCTGTAGGAAGTGAAAGCTGTGAATCATGCTTTCAATAGATCTTCAGCTCTGAGGTTATTTTTTTAAAAATAAGTAGTACTTTTAAATCCAGGTTTCTCGTGATTCATGGAGGCGGAGACAATGCTGAGTTTATACCATTATGCTCTTGGCCACGGAGGTTCAACTATCCTCACCACTGGAAGGGTCAGGACGTCACCTGGCATTAGAGAGGCGGGTCCCTCGATGACAAGCACATCACATGGGCATGAGTAAGAAACCAATCCTACTGGCTGGCCTCCAAGATGCTGGGGTTTATCGGACACCATAGAGCAGCCTGGCCTCGGGACCAAATATAGTTTTAGTGTTGCTGTGAGACAGTTGGCCCTAAGTGTTAGTGGCTTACAAAGCAATCATCAGGGGCATCTGGGTGGCTCAGTCAGTTAGGCATCCAACTTCAGCTCAGGTCACGATGTCGCAGTTTGTGGGTTTGAGCCCTGTATCGGGCTCTGTGCTGACAGCTCGGAGCCTGGAGCCTGCTTCGAATCCTCTCTCTCCCTCTCTCTCTGTCCCTCCCCTGCTCGTGTTCTCTTTCTTTCAAAAATAAATAAGCATTTTAGAAAAATAAAAAACAATAATCATTTCATGTCCCTCATAGTTTGTGTGGTCAAGAACCAGGAGTAACCCACAGAGCACCCGCGGCCAAGTCCCGGATGCAAGAGCAAGACCCTCCCCTGCGACGAGGCTCCATAGTGGCTCTGACGGGTGACACTCACTAGGAAACACCACTGCTCCTGCAGCATGGAACCATCCCCTCTTCTACTCTTACCTTCACTTTCTTTTCTTTAAAAGATTTTATTTGGGGCGCCCGGGTGGCGTAGTTGGTTAAGCGTCCGACTTTCGCTCGGGTCATGATCTCGCGGTTCGTGGGTTCGAGCCCCGCGTCGGGCTCTGTGCTGACTGCCAGCTCAGAGCCTGGAGCCTGTTTCAGTCTGTGACTCCCTCTCTCTCTAACCCTCCCCTGCTCACGCTGTCTCTCTCTCTCTCTCCTAGAAATAAATAAAACATTTAAAAAAAAAAAAAAGATTTTATTTATTTAAGTGACTGCTACACCCATGCAGGGCTTGAACCTACAACCCGGAGGTCAAGAGTCGCAGGATCCACCATCAGAGCCAGCCAGGGGCCCCTCTTACCTTCACTTTCTAAAGTCTATTTAATATTATGTTGCTTAATTGCTATATTAGTTTATTATTTTTATATTTTATTAACTGTGTATTTATTATACTATATTTTAGTATTTACATAAAATTTTAGTATGTTTTATATTTTTGTATGGGTTTTTTGTATGTTTTTGTATGTTTTATAATTTATATAAATGTTATAAATCTTTTTATACAAAGAATGTTTGTGGGGCGCCTCAGTGGCTCAGTCGTTTGGGCGTCTGAGTTTGGCTCAGGTCATGATCTCATGGTTCGTGGGTTTGAGCCCTGCGTCAGGCTCTGTGCTCACAGCTCAGAGGCTGGAGCTGCTTCGGATCCTGTGTCTCCCTCTCTCTCTGCCCCGCCCCTGCTTGTGCTCTCCCTCTCTTAAAAATAAAAATAAAAGAAGAAGAAGAAGAACGTGTGTGTGTGTGTGAAATGAGCTTTTGCAATGTTTAAAAAGAAAATCTTGCCCTTGAGGGCAGCCTGTTCCCAGCCTCAAACAGACACTGGTAACTTCTGACAATGACAAAGCATATTTCGATATTCTGCCCTTCCTCTGAAGTTATGTCCTGAGCTGTTCTGTGTTACTAGGTATCCTTCACGCGTGACACTGCGACGGACAGGCTATCTCAGCACGAGGATGTCACATAGTATGTCCGTGTGCTTCCCCGTCAGAAATTTGTTTCAGATTGTCATGTTCTGCGATCACCGGATGAGGAATGTGCTCGTGTGTATACATGTTTCTCCTTTTGAGTTGTTTCCCAAAGATAAAGTCAGAGACTTGGAATCCGGTGGAACGGACATTCTAGTCCCTCTCAATAGGTTTGTAAATGTTCGCCTTCCAGGAGCAGTCGGCCACTGCAGTTGGCTGCCAGCCTGCGGCAGACAGCACAGATCACCACCCATGTCCCACAGGACGTGAGCTCTGGTTTGGTCCAGGGGAGGGGGGCAATTTGCCCAGCCCACCCGGCAGCAAGGTGGAGCTGGCAAAATGTAAGCACAATTTATTGAGTCATCTGCAAAGCTCCTTAAGAGGAGACAGACAGCTGGAAACAAGCACCCTTTTCCCTCTTCTTGCATGGATGGTGGGATCTCCAGCACCCATATTGGGCCATGAGGCTACTTTGAGAATGGAAACTCCACATTATGCAAGACAGAGAAGAAAAATCCCCAACAACAGAGTGGAGGAGTCATGCTAGCCTTGGATTTCCTAATTCCAGGCTTACTTCCTTTAGAGGAAAATCCTGTATTAGTTAAGTCTTTGAACTTCATTTCCTTTTTAAATTTTGTTTAATATTCATTTTTGAGAGAGACAAAGCATGAGTGGGGGAGGGGCAGAGAGAGAGAGGGAGACACAGAATCCGAAGCAGCTCCAGGCTCTGAGCTGTCAGCACAGAGCCTGACGCGGGTCTCAAACCCACGAACCATGAGATCATGACCTGAGCTGAAGTCGGACGCTTAACCGACTGAGCCACCCAGGCGCCCCAAGTCTTTGAACTTCAGATCTGTTACTAGCACCTGAGCTACTTAACCGCCTCAGAACACTACTAGCATTGGTTTTAGCACATTAAAGCTTTAAACATCATTTATAGGTATCAAGTGGGACTTAACTGTTGCTTACTGGTGCCTTTTCAGAGGGACTTTGCAGGCAGAGGGAGTAGCACAGGCAAAGCTACACAAGCTGGGAGGAGAGCCGTTTCCAAAGACGCGGAAGTCTCTTCTTGGAGCAAGGCCACCTGCTGTCATCTCACTGAGAGTCTCACTGCTGTCAGGTGAGGTGTCCCTTCACAGGGAACCACTGAGGTAAGCGTCTGACTTAACCACTTCCCTGTTGCCATTCTCTTCCTTCCTCCTCACTCCTCCTCAGCTCGTCCCTCCCCCATCTCCCCCTGCCCTCCCTCTCTCCTCCCTCCACTATCTGTCCCCTTCCCCATCCCCCTCTCTTCCTCCCTTCCCTTCCTCCCACTCCCCATCCCCTTCCCCTCCCTCCCCTCTCTCCCCTTCCCTCTCTCCTCCCTCCCCTCATTCCAGAATTCCTCCCCTTCCTCCCTCTCCCTCTTCCCTCTCCCTCCTCCCCTTCCTCCCTCTCCCTCCCCTCTCTCTCCATCCTCCGTCTCCCTCCTTCCCCCCTTCCTTCCCCTCCCTAGTCTAACAGCTTTAGCAGGAGAGGGAACAAGGAGTCCCCTGCCCAGGACGGAGTGAGTAACTCCCATGAATATGAACAGGCTGCGCAGAGAAGGAGCCGGCAAACTGACACCCTCCGAAGCAGGCGAGCCCAGCCCCGCCGGCGCCCCGTGAAAGGCTATTTCTGTCCCCGAGTTCTGGCCGAGACACAGCATCTAGTCCGATAAATGCCCCTTTGTGCTGGAAGGGTTTCCATCGACTCATGAGATGCCCTCAAGGAGAGCCTGTTGCCTGCTGCCCTGGGCTCTGCCCAGCAACGGGCCCGCCGGGGCCTGGCCCGCTGCCCGCCTGGGCGCCATCGGAGCCAGGGACAGGGGACGTGGCGCTGTGGGGAGCCGCCCACGGGCTGCAGCCTCTGCAGCACAGGCAAGACCCGCGGGCGGCCGTCAGCCCCATGGGGAGGCCAGCGGGCCACGTGCGCGCCCTGGTTCCAGAGCTGGCACCGGCAGTCTGAGCTCTGGTGGCCCCCTTCCCCCGCAGGGGCACACCGGCCTCCTCCCTGCTGGCTGTGCAGGCCCCTTCGTCCCCAAGCCCCTGCGTCCCTCCTCAGGAAGGGGCAGCTGCGGCATCACACGGAGTGTCTCAGCTCTGCAACCGTCTGCTCGGCCTCGGCTGCAGAGAGGAAGGAAGCAGGTCCGAGGAAACGTGGAAGAGGCCGCTGAGCCCGGCACCGCCAGACACGCGCCCGCCGGGGTCGGGGACACGGGCAGGGCCAGACACGCGCCCGCCGGGGTCGGGGACGCGGGCACCGCCAGACACGCGCCCGCCGGGGTCAGAGGTTAAAGGGCAACCTGCTCCGTGTGGACCTGCCCTGCTGCTCTTCTCAGGAACAGGTCCTCCAAGAGCCCTGCGTGTCGGTGACAAACCCTTTACCAGGAGGAAGGCAGCCTCCCCATCTGTCGAGCCACAAGACGTGACGGGTGACAGGATGGCCCTCGGGCACCTGGCTGCGTGAAAACCGTGCTGGACAGGCCCTCTGCTGGCCTCCTTCCGTCCCAGACTGACGCAGACTCAGTCCTCACAGGCCACACTGACGGGCCTTGGCGCTCCCGCCACAGGGAGCACGTGCCCCTCACTACGGGTGATGGGTGACAGCACCCGTGGGGACCTCCTCTTCCGTGCTCCGCAGTCAGGTCCATGACTTGACCTCAGCCTCCACCCGGAGTCCCCAGACCAGCCGCACAGCCTCCCAGGACTCGGGCGCCAGCCAGAAAGCCAGGTCCCTTGGCTCTGACGCTGGATGAACCAGAGGCAGGGCAAGGACATCACCCTCGACGGGGTCTGTGTGGTGTCAGGCAGGGCTGGGGGTCTCAGGGCAGGGACAGGGGACAGGGCGAGGGGGTCCCAAGCTCCCCGTCCCCTGCAGCTCCTGGGGCATTTGCAGAGGTCTCCCTGAGGAGAGCAAAGCTGTGGTCAGCCTGGGGTCTAAGGTGGGCCAGGCTTCTCCAGGGGCCAGAGGAAAGGCCCTGAGGCGGCTGAGCACCCCATGCACCCACCACAGCCTCCAGGTAGCTCCAGCACGTGTCTGGGGTGGGTGGGGTGGGCTCAGGAGACCTGGGTTCAAGTCTCCACTCTGGGAGCCTCAGTTTGCCCACAGTAAAATGGGTGCAGCACCCCAGTGAGACAGTGCACGCACCAAGTCCCAAGCCCTGGGGCTCAGCATCGCCTGCTAGCGTCACCCTCGGGCCCTTGGTGGCGGTGCCTCCACTTGGTGGTAACCTGTGGGATCCTGGTCAGACCCGAGGACCCGAAGACGGGGGTGGGAAGCTGCCCTGAGCCCCCGAAGACGGGGGTGGGAAGCTGCCCTGAGCCCCCATGTGGGGAGCACCCCTGGGAGACGCAGGAAGGATCAGGGGCATCCTGAGTCTTCCCGGAGGAGGCGACCCCCAGACTGGGAGAATGGGAGGCCTCTGGCCCTGGGCAGGGGGAGCAGGGCAGGGAGGCTGTGGGCGGGGCTCGTGGGTCCCCAGCACCTGTTCTCTGAGCACCTGCGCCAGGGGCAGGGCTCTCAGACCTGGTGGACGGACCAGGAGCCACAGCCTGTCCCGGAGGGTGTCCTTTCAGCCTGCGGTTTAGCCCAGTCCTCCGGACGGCCAGGGTCAGCAGCTGACCTTCAGGGGAGGCAGGAGGAACCCAGCCCAGACCTGACCTGCTGGCAATGTCTCTTCACCAAACCACAGGTCACTTGCCCTGCCAGGGCTCCAGACACACGCCCTCACTCCCACGACCGCCTGCGGCCCGTCAGCTTCCTGGTCTGAGTCGGCGGTCAGTGTCAGGGCAGAGAATTTGGAGCCCAGCAGCTCTGTCATTAGTGGTTTGCGGAGCACAGGCCGGACAGGGCCAGCTGGGTTGAGGAACGCCTGGAGGCTGGATGCAGCAGCCCGGGCTAGGGCATGCCCTGGGCAGCACAGGGCGTGGGCTGAGGGTCAGCGGTGCCTGGCACTTTGTGGCTGTGGAGGGGGCAGACAGCGTGCGCACAAACAAGCATGGTGTTTTCAGGAGCTGACCCAGGGCTGGGGTGAGGGGGGCTGGGGGCCACTGAAGAAGGTGGTCTCTGACCAGGTGACAGGAAGGAGCCACCTACATGGAGACCTGGGGACAGGATCTTCAGATGGGGAAAATGGAGAGTGCAAAGGCCCTGAGGTACAGAGTCCATGGAGTAAACAGAAGGGTGCTAGGGAGGCTGAAGGGAGGGGCGGATGCAGGGGTCAGGTGTTTAGGGTCCAGGAGTGAGGATTTGTTCAAGAAGACTTCAGAGAGAGGTAAACTGGCCAATGACATAATCTGATATACATTTTCAAAATGGGATTGAGGGGGAAGCAATTCAATCTGTTATGTGTTCTGCGTTTAAAGAAGAAGATCTAGGGGCACCTGGGTGACTTAGTCAGTTAAGCATCCAACTCTTGACTTTGGCTCAGGTCATGATCTCACAGATCATGAGATTGAGCTTCTTGTCAGGTTCTGTGCTGATGGCTGTTTGGGATTCTCTCTCCCTCTCTCTCTGCCCCTCCCCTGCTCACTTGTTCTCTCTCACTCTCCCAAAATAAATAAACTTTTTAAAAAAGAATATCTATTAATGAAAAATATAACACATATTTTAAAAATAGGATCCAGATTAGCTGTATCACAACCCCCCCCCCAAATTATGGAACCCTCCAAACAATAAAGATTTTTTTCTTATTCACACTCAAAAAGTCTTGAGGTGGGCAGCCCAGGGAGGGCCTGTACTTTAAGCACTGGGGACACAGTCTTCTTCTGTCTTGAGGTCGGCTGTGTAAGACTCCCAGGCCCAAGTTCAAGTTCTCCTCTTGGGCCAGTGTGGCTGCTGGAGCTCTGGCCATTACAACTGAATTCCACCCAGCTGGAAAGAGGAAATAATAAAGAATGGCACATCCCTCTGTTTAAGGCCCCTTTCCTGATGTTGCATTTCCCCTTCCATTGGTAGCATGTAGCCAGGCACACCTAGCAGCAGGAGAGGCTGAGAAACACAGCTTCCATTCTGGGAGGCGATTTGCTAAGCTAAAAATCAGGAATCTGTAACAGAGAGCGAAGGGAAGAACTGATGGTGGGGGTGACCTCTGACCCTGTCACCTTTGCCCTGGCTGCTGAGGACAAGGGCTTTGCTGGGTCCAGATGCCCAGAGATGACAAGCTGAGTCAGCCCCACCCCGCTCTGGGGAGAACCCAGTGCACAAATGGGCAGGACAGACGGATGGATCAGGGCTTCATGAAGAAGCCACTTGTCACGGCTCTCTCTCCGTGGTACTGGGCGGGTCCCTGCAGGACAGCCAGCCTGCTGGCCACTCGCTCCGTAAATGGCTACATGACATTCCAAAACATGGATGGACACAACTCTGTGGCTCCCTCACGGTGGATGCTCACTTTGTTTTGGGGTTCAGGGCCCTCTAGGGTTAGCTGCACCCCGCTGGGTGGTCTTGAGCATGTCACATCTCAGCGGGGGACTGGGGCGTTGTGGACACACCCTTGACCCAGGTTGGCAAGCGCCTCTGCTCCTGTCTTTAAAGTGGGGAGGGGCGCCTGGGTGGCTCAGTGGGTTGAGCTTCTGACTCTTGATTTCAGGTCAGGTCATGACCTCACAGTTCATGGGATCAAGCAGTGGGGAGCCTGCTTGGGATCCTCGCTCCCTCTCTCTTTCTCTGCCCCCTCCCCCATGTAACCACACGCATGCACACACGCTCTGTCTCAAAAGTAAATAAACATTGAAGAAAAATCTTTTTAAAAAGTTAAAAACAAAGTGTGGGGGTGACACAGCACCTCCTCATAGGCCTGGCCTCCTTCCTCTGTCCTGGAAATGGAAGGTCAGCCCTGCCCCGCCCCCTGGCCCCCACGCACCCATCTGGCAGGAGCTGTGGTCCCCGAAAGTCCCCTCCAGAGCACAGAGCCCCGGGCCCACCCGCTGCTGCGGTGTAACGGTGCCCCAGGGTGTGGGCCACCAGCACCCAGGGCGTGTCTGTCGCCCAGGGCTCTGCCTGCGGCGGGCATGTGCGGGCGGGCCGGGCCCTGCAGAGCCTCCTGGGCAGACCGAGCCCAAGTCTGCCTCGCCGGGCTGGGGGGGGCCTTGGCAAGTCAGGCCACCTCCCCCCGCCGCTCCCACCCCCTCTGTACGTGGAAACACCACCGGCAGGGATCCCTGCCTCTCAGAGACAGAGACGGGCAAGAGAGCGGGCCGCTTCCTGAGGCTTCTGTCCACAAACTACCCTCTGTCTGAGTGCACATCCTCCCAGGCCCCAGGCTACACGTTGAGCCCTCCCCGAGGCAATGCAGGGAAACGGACTCTGACCCCAGGGTGGGTGAGGTGGGGGGGCGGCCTCTCTGGGGGGAGGCCTGTGTCCTTTGTGATCAGGAGGGATGTTGCTCCATGGATGGACCGTGAGGGTGTTATGCTGAGCGAAATGAGTCAGGCAGAGAAGGACAGACACCATATGTTTGCACGTATAGGAGGGTTAGGGGGAACTTAACGGAGGACCGTGGGGGAACAAACCATGAGAGACTCTTGAATGCTGAGAACAAACTGAGGGCTGATGGGGGGGGAGGGGAGGGGGAGGGGGGAGGGGCATGGCGGGGGGCACTTGTGGGGATGAGCACCGGGTGTTATATGGAAACCAACTCGACAATAAACTATTAAAGAAAAGAAAAAAGGAGGGATGTTACTCAGGCGTCCTGCTCTCTGCCCACCTGGGGCATGAAGCTGCTGCCCCAGAGCTGCCCCACTCCTGTGCTCAGCTGTCACCTCTGGGTGACAGGGGCCCACCGAGGCTCCAGGGCCCTCCCACGCTGGGCACTGGCCTTGGTGTCAAGTGGCCTGGGACGCTTCATCTTCAGAGTCCCCGTTTGTGACGCAGGAAGTGCTTCCCTAGTCACACAGCTCGGTGGAGCCAGGTGAACTCTGGGCGTGCGGGGGTGTCCACGTGTGTGCTGGTGGCACACCCAGCCTTTCCGCCACGTCTCTGAGTCTCTCTGGGGAGCACAGCCAGCCTGGGACAGTCCCCGTGATCCTCTGCCCTCGGGCCATCACCTCGCTTCAGCATAGGGTCTCTGCAGGAGAATCTGAAAGCAGGTGGTGAGGACACAGCAAGCGCGGCCTTTGGGCCTCGCTGGGGCCGCTGGGTCGGTCCCTGCTGGGAGCAGTCTGGGAAACAGGCACTTCATAGGCAAATGAGGATGACACAGCAGTCCAGGAAGTCCCTGGAGGAGGACACACAATGGGTGGGGGAGCAGTTCTAGAGGGAGAGACCCTGCTGTGAGGGCTGTGACCCCGACGCCAGGAAGCTGAAGTGCTGAATTGTTACACCAGGACCTTTGCTGACTCGCTCCTTCTGGACTGGGCGAATGGTGAACCTCAGCTCTGAGCGGCCGTGGGGCCCGCAGGAGACACATGCTCAGCACGGGGGCGCAGGGCCCCAGCGCCTTCCCGCCCTCAGCCCCCACGGGGCCCAGCAAGACCAAGATGCCCTCACCTGCCGAAGGGGCCGAGGCTCTGCTCCTCACCTCCCAGCCTCCCCTGCACCCTCAGGACCCTCTCCCTGGCCCCTCCAGGAGCCAGCCTGGCCCCTGGGGTGGGAGTTTGTGCCATTCTGTGTGAACAGTGCTAACGTTTAAAATCCTGCATTTCCAGCCAGTTGTCAGCAGTCAGGCGTGCGATCTGTGAGAATGACTGTACGCTGCTGTATGGGGGCGTGGTGCCCAGGCCTGCCCACACCGCGGGGGGCACTGCAGAGGCCCTGCTCAGGGCGGCCCAAAGCAGGACCGAGGCACGAGCCACTCGCCCTGGCTTCAGTTCCCTCAGCCTTGAACTGGGCCAACGGCGGCTCCTTCACGGACCTGGGTACGGGGTACGTGGGCAGGACTGGCACCCCCTGGGACAGCTGTCCCCCAGCCTGGCCAGTGCTGCCCCCGCTGGCCCTGCCACTCCCCCGCACAAGGAGAAGAGAAAGGTCAGCAGGAGGGCCCGGACCACGGTTTAGTGGAAGATCCCTTTTTCTGATAAATTCTCCTGGGTGACTTGCATTTTCCATGCCTTTGGTTTCACTTATAAAAAACTCCCCTCCCAGCAGGGATGAGGTGTGGTGTGGGGGAGGGGAGGTCTCAGCCTGGAGTGTGACAAGGACCCTGGGCAAGCCAGGAACTGGGTTTCCACGCCCAGGGCCCCTTAGCGCGGGCCGGCCTGCAGGGGGCGCCCAGCCTACTGTTTCGACGGCCCGCAAGGGCCCCGGGCGTTTAGAGCTCGTCCTCCCGGGCTTCTCCCTCCCCGTCTTGTGTCCCTCGTCAGGTGAGGTGGGAGAGCCTACGTCCCGAGCCCGTAGCAGAAGCCGCGTCCCTGACGCACGCAGGGCTGCTCAGTGCCGGTTCCGGCCCGTCCCCCAAGCCCTGCCCCAGCCGGCTCGTCACGGCCTGTGCCTAGAACAGGGCCAGGCATACAGCGGGCGCTCGATGATGACCTGATGAACGCACAAGCCTCCAGCTCCAGCTAATGCAGCCACGTAACCCGCTGCCTCCTGACCTGGGGCACTGCCACTTACCTTCTTTGATGTCACTTGGCGGTGGGGGGGGGGGACGGATGATCAGCCCACAGGGCCTAAGGAGACCGTCCCTGCGTCACAGGTGGGGAAGCCGAGAGCGACGTCCCCCAGCCGCCCCAGCCCACACAGCTGTGGTGGTTATAGTTACAGAGCCCCAGCCTAGACGGACCCTGGCAGGCCCCTGGGCCGCAGGGAGGGTCTCGGGGGCCGGGGGCCCTGCTCACTGAACACTAGGTGCTTTGGTGGAGACATCAGCAGACAATGTGGGAGAAATGCGAGTGGTAAAAGCAGCTGGGCCGGGCAGCAGGCTCGGGGTCAGGGCTGGAGGACATAGTGGCCCCGGGGGGTAACGGGCGCGGCCTCTCCGGCCGGGGCCCGCGTCTTGCTGGGCGCCCTGGGAAACAGGGACTGACTGAGCCCCGGCCTGGGGGAGCCAACGCGCTCCGGCCGCCCTCCGAGGCCCGCCCTGGCACCCGGCGCCGTCCCAGGCCAGGGGGCCTGCCTCCCGCCTGGGGCGCGGGGGCTGCGCCAACAGGGCGGGGGCCGCACCAGGCGGACCCGACCCGCGGCGACGGCCCTCTGCCTGACCCCACCGCCCCCCACCTCCCGAGCGTGCGCGAGGCCTTCGCGTCCCCATTTCCCGGGCGGGAGGCCAGACGCAGAGCGTGCGGGCAGGCGCCGGGGGCGTGGGGCTCCCCAAGAACGCCCGCACCCTGGCAGCGGCGCGCTCGCCTTCCCGGCGCGCCCCGCAGTTTGCGAAGTGGCCCGGGAAAGGCTGCTTCTTGGCCTCATTTCACGGATTAAAAGTGTTCACGACGTGGGCAGAGCCGGACGTGCCCCGCCTCACCCGCGCAGCCCTCGCTGGGAGAGGGAGGGTCCTCGGCGTCCCGCGGGCACGGCCGGCTGGGGGCGGGGTCCGGGGGGAGGGGCGGGTCCGAGGGCGGAGCCCGGGGCGACCGGGAAGCCTCGGGGGCGGAGTCCGGGGCGGAGTCCGGGGCGGGCCGGGGGCGGGCCGGGGGCGGGCCGGGGGCGGGCGCGCAGCCGGGTCCCCGCGGCCCAGGCGCGGGCGGCGTTCAGCCCCGAGCAAGGCGGCTCCGGCGGCCGCACCATGGAGTCGGGCCCCGAGGAGTTCGAGCTCAACGGCGATCTGCGCCCAGGCTCGCCCAGCTCCCCGGACCCCCTGGTAAGCCCCGCTCGGCCCACGCCTCTGTGCGATCTTGGCCTGCGCCTGCCCTCTCTGGGCCCCGCGCCCGGGGCTCACCGGGCACCTGGGGGCGCCGGCGGTTGCGCGCCGCTTCCGCACTGCGGGGTACCGGGGTCTTCGAGTCCCCTGCGCCCCCCGCCGTCGGGTCCGATCTGCGGCCCGAGGGCTCAGGACACCCCGGCAGGGGCGCGGGGCGCGGAGAGGGCCGGCAGGTGCGTACGCGGAGCCGCGCGGCTGGGGGACCTGGGCGCCACCTTCCCCCGCCCCCCGCGCCCGGCCTCTAACTTCGGCCCCCGCACCCCCTCCCGCTCGTGCGCGCCCGGGCGCGCAGAATCCCAGCCCCGGGCCCGGGGCCAGCAGCAGGCAGACGGTTACGTCACCCGCCGTGTCCGCGGCCACCGCACTATCCGCTGCGTGCCCCGATGGGGAACTTGAGGCCGCTGTGGCCCCGTTCCTGTTTCCACCGCAGGCCTCCGCGGCCCGTGCAGAACATGCCGTCCTGGCCTAGGACGGCCTTGGGCGTGGGGCAGGCGCCTGGCAGTGGTCCCGACTCACTTTACAAGTGGTGACTCCCCCGCTGCCCCCGGGTCCTGTCCGGGGGTGTCCGTGCCCTCCTTCCTGGACCCAGAACTTCTCCAGCACCTCTGTGATGCGGTCCTGGGCATGGCTCTCCGGTGACTTGTTGACTTTGAACATTCTTTCACTTTCTGACCCCCTGGCGATGGGGGCAGGGATGGCCCTCTCCCAGCCATGTGAACCAGGCTGGGGCAGAGCGCCTCAGCCGCGGGGAGCAGGCCATGTTGGGGGTGGGGAGGACACGTGCGGTGAGTGAGGCCCCAGTGGCAGGGGCCCCCCTCCGGTGTGCTGGAGACCCCACGCAGTCATCCTTTCCGCCTTGTGTGTTCTCTGCAGAGGCTTTCTGGGGCTCAACCTCATGCTGACCCTTCAGGAAGCCTGACTGCCCTAGGGTGGCACGGGGTGTTTGTCCCTAGGTTGGTGGGGGGGAAAATGAGGACCCTGAAGGTCCTCGAGTGGCCTGCCCTGGCATGTAAGCACTTCAGAGCTGTGGGCCGTGCATGCTTGGGGAGGCTGCCTCGCCTCTCTGAGCCTCCTGTGCACAGTGTGTAAAGGGAGAACTAATGCCCCCGCCTGCCTCGGGTCCTGCTCACCTCCCAGCCTGTGGCTGTGCCTTCCACTCCAGCCTCTCTGCTCCCCTCGGCTTTGGCAGGCAGGGTCCTGTGCACCCCAGGCCCACGGGGCTCAGGTGGGAGACAAGGTGCTTGGAGCTGAGACCAGCCCAGATGGAGAAGCGAAGGCTGGAGCCTGGAGCCCCTCTATGGGTGGGGAGTGGGGGGCTCAGGAAGACTCCTGCACAGGGGGCCGCTGGCGCTGCGTGCTGCAGGACGGGACCGCGGTGCGGCGTGGCCATCTGCAACGCGGGAGAGGACGTCCCAAGCAGAGACAACAGCAAAGGAAAGGCCCAACCAAGTCTGGGGAGGTTGTGCATGACAGGAGGTCTGACGCTTCCATGCCCCCCAGGAGCCAGTGTGTGTTGGGGGGGGGGTCTCTGGGAAGGAGCTCACCGTGCCTGGGACCACTCCCCAGCCTCTGCCTCATCTCTTCCACCTTCAGGACCTGCCTTGTTGTGTTTGGGGGACATGACTCTGTTTCTCTTCTGTGATGTGGGATGGTAGCAATGCCTTTGTCAGAGATCGCGGTGAGGCCCACTTGGGCTAGTGTGTGTGCTGGGCTCAGTGTCCATGTTCCTGCCCGCTGCTGGTGAGGACTCCAGGGCGGCACCTTCTCCGTGGCGGGACCCTTGCGGGCGGGCACAGACTTCCCTGCCTCAGCCCCTGCTCAAACCTGAGCCTCCAGCACCTGCGTGAGCGTGAGAAAGTCTCAGTGGGGTGAGGGGCAAACCCCTGGGGTCTTTGGATGCGCAAAGTGCAACAGGAGCCCTGATGGCAGGGTGGGTGGGCTAGGTGGGTCCTGTGTCCCCAGCACAGCCCTGGTGGTGGGGGGGCTCACCTGGGGAGGCCCAGGTCGAAAGCCCTTTTCAGACTCAGGATGCCTGCTGCAGTGGGAAACGGGGCGGGGTCGTTCACTTCCCAGGGTGACCCAGCTCAGGGAAAGCCCTCCGTCTAACCACTGAGCAGATGGACCCTGCAGGCTCGCCCCACCAGGTGCCTGTGCCCCCAGGGCCCTCAGGGAGGCCAGGCTGCCCCGTCCCCTGCAGGAGGGGGTTGGTATCTCTCCTGCAGCTGGTGGCTGGAGGAATAGTACACACAAATGTTACTGTGAAGATGGCCCTTGGCTGTGTCATGCCCGGGTGTGTCTTGGCTTGGGAGCAGCAGCTCTGGACCCTGTGGCGGACCCTGGGGCCACAGCCAGTGGAGGACACAGCAGGGAGGGAACAGGGTGAGGTGGGTCATGGCTGGGGAGGGGGGGCTGCATCTGGGCTGTGTTGTCTCTCCCTTACTTCTGCTTTCCTGGAAATATCCTGAGGTTGGCAGGGTCTTGGCCAAGTTCTAAAAGGCCCCGGGGTCACTGCAGTCAGTGCTGAGTCCACAGGAAGCAGGTCTGCCCAGCCCACAGCCCAGCTGCTGCAGGAAACCCCCCCAACGAGACTTCCTGCGGGGACACTGACGTAGAGCCAGACATCTCTCCGGGCTGGCATTGTGGCCTCCAAGCCTGGCGTGAGCAACGGCACATGACCACGCGGGTGGGTCAGATGAGGGACACTCCAGGTCTTGCCAGACCCACCTCGGTTCTCAGGTCCCTCCCCAGAGGGAAGGACTCCAGAGCCCCTGCTCCCACCAGTACCCGCTGCACCCAAGCAGAGGAGCCGTGGTGGGCCAGGGCTGGGAGCCGAACGCCGAGGCCCCGGGTCCTGCTCAGCGCACATGGCCATTTCCTGGGTTCGTCCTTTCTCTTGTCACAGATCGCTGGTTCTGAATCCGTGCACCTCATTTGAGAGGCCATCCGCCCTGGCTGGCTGGGCTCCAGCAGACCAAAGGGCCTCTGCCCCCCTCATTCGGTCTGATCTGCCCACTTTGCAGATGAGGAAACTGAGGCACAGAACCCTGGTGTGGGGTTCAGGGGTGCTGGGGAGAGGTGCCAGCAGAAGTCCTACCCTAGCTCCTCGCAGGGCAGCTGATGGATGTCGTGGATTTGGTGGGGGCCTTGGTCTCCTTCTGAAAACGGGAAGGTGGGCTCTGGGCAGGGGCTCCTGTTCCACACTTTCACACGGCGATCAGGGCAAGCAGGATTGGGGGACATTAGCAACCCCAACCCCTGGGTCCTCCCAGACCTGGCCTCACCTCCCAGGGGAGCAGGAGGCCGGGGTGGGCATGCCGTCTCCTCCCCTCTACCCCAGCCTGGGCTGGACTGGAGCATATCCGTGAAGCTACAGACGAAGCAGGTGCTGGGGTGCAGGGTTCACATCTGTCCCAACTCCCTCCCCGTCTGAGCTGAGGACACTCAGCACTGTGGCCCTGGGCTAGCCACGAATGCCACCAGGCCCTCTGTCCACAGTAGGCCAGCCTCCCTGCTCTGCTCGGCTCTGGCCCCCAACCCGAAAGACTCCTTCCTTCCTGGCTTTTAGAGGGAAGAATCCAGAGCTCACTCGCTGCCTTCCCCAGCTCCTGGTACCACCACTGAGGTTTTGGGGAAGTCCCCCTGGCCCTGGGGACACATTAACCAGGGTGTTTGTCCCTGCACTGCTCAGGTCTCGGGCAGAGGTCTGTGTGGGAGGTTCCCAGCGTGGCTCCCAGCAGCCAGGCAGGCGGATGGGCCGGCAGGCGGGCCATTCTGGCTGAGGGCTCCTGCGACCTTCCCACCCTGCCCAGTAGGCTGTCCCCAGGACAGCGGCCTCTCTGGGGCTCAGTTGTCACCCCAGGCTCCCAAGTCGCCCTGCTGCTCCAAGCCCCTCCTCAGGAGGCCTGGGACACTTTCCTCACTTGACACCCTGCCCCACACAGCCGCCTGGGCCCCTCCCCTGGCTGGATGCAAGGCCCTGCTGTGCCCTGGGCAGCGCTCAGCTTCGGGGCAGACAGCCCAGGCCTGAGGGTTAATGCTCCCCGTCCACTGGTGGGGAGCTTCCCAGAGTCCAGCCCGGGGCACACAGATGGGGAGACAGGCCAGCTGCAGGGAGCGCATTGTCAAGGCCACGGCCGGGCTGTGGTGAGCGGGGCTTGACTGGCCTCCTGGCTGGCACCCCTTGTCACTGCACAGGTTGAACAGGAAGCAGATGGCCACGTGGGGAGGAAGTGCCCAGCACCAGGAGGGGCGTGCTTGCCCCTCAGGGCTCGGAGGCTGCGGCCTGATCCACTAGAACCTCAGGTTGCCTGCTCTTGGCCCTGTTGCACACATGGGAGACTGAGGCCCAGAGGGTGCTGGCTCTACTAAGGTCACGCCACTGGAGTGAGGCCCTGACCCCAGCGGCCGCTGCAGGCCTGGGGGGAACACGGATCAAAGCGCAGCCCTCCCTTGCTCTCCGCTTTGGATAAGGTGCTTCCCCTGCTAGCCTCAGTTTACCCACAGTGAGTGTGTGTGAGGACAGAGGGTAGTGGGGACACAGAGTCCCCATGCTGGGGACGCGTCATTCTGTATTTGAGTGTGCGTGTGGCTGTGTGACTGTAAGGGACTCGAACGGTTGTGGAATCCTTCCTCCTTCCCGGAGGCCAGCACGGTTAGCCTGGCTGTGTGTGTGCGTGCATATGTGCGTGTTGATAGGTGTACGTTAGTATGTGCACAAGTGGGCATATGCCTACATGCGTGTGCACCGAGCATGTGTGTGTACTTGCTCACGCGCGTGTTTGCTTCTACATGTTTATACCTGCATGCATGTTTGCTTGTTTGTTTATATACGTGTGTACATACACGTGCCTGTGTGTTTTCTCCTGAGCATATGTACCTGGCCGCCCCGCCCCCAGCAGGTGGCCGTCCCTCCAAAGCTCTGCACCCACATCTTGTCTCCAGGACCAGAGATCAGGACAGCTCCGTGGTGGCCTTTAGGGAAGGCCCTTTGGCACTTCCGGTTTGTGACACCGGCGAGCACATTCCCGCCGGGACGCCTGCCTCTCGGTGGAGCGCACACGTGACGAGGCGGGGCCGCCGGGGCGGGAGCGGGGGAGCGGGGGGGGGGGGGGGGGGGGGGGGGGGGGGGGGGGGGGGGGGGGGGGGGCAGGCGCTGAGACCCGGGGGGGGGGCGGGGGGCGATGGGGGCAGGGCTTGGGGGGAGCAGCTGAGCCTGGCGTCTGCGGCCTGGGGGTGGCCTCCTCAGCGGTGCGCGCAGCTGGGGTCCCCCGTGAAGGGCCACAGCCGGGACCCCGCCGGGGCTGCTGTGTGGACCCCGCAGACGGCGGTGCCGAGGGCGGTGCGCTGGGATCCGCTGCTTACGGAGCCTCCGGCGGAGGGAAGGCGGGCGTCGCCAGGGGCCGCGCTCCCTCCCTCCCGGGTGTGTTACTCTAGACGAGATGAAGTTTGGGGAGACCCACGGCGAGAGCGAGCCTCCGCCGCGTCCCCGGAGTTGGGCATTTTCCAGGGTGGTTTCCAGCCGCAGGAAAGAGAGGGGCCGCCCTTTGGTCCGCCCCCAGCCTGCATCTTTCATGACTTCAGAAACGCGATCCCTCTGTGCCGGGGAGGCTCGTGCTGGGCCTGGTGGCTCAGGGCCCAGGGGTGCGTGCTGCGGGCTGCGGAGGGGCCGGCCAGGGGCAGCCGCACCCGGGCTTCCTGAGGGGGGGGTGGCCTGAGGCCCAGCGCTGTTCTCGGGCAGAGGCCCCTGGAAGCCCGGACCGGAAGGCCCATCCCTGCGGGGCTGTGAGGGCAAAACCTCATCACAAATGAATGAAAGGGCAGGAGGAGGCTTCTGGAAGGCCGGCCTGGCGGCCCCCAGGGTGTCCTGTGCGCGCCTAACTCCTGCGGCTCCAAGTTCTGCGTTGTGCACAGCTTTCTGTACGGCGATCACACCTCAATAAAGTTGTTTAAAATTACTTTTAAAAGTAAAAGTTGGGGGGAGGGGTGCACCTGGCGGCTCGGTCCATTAAACACACTACTTCGGCTCAGGTGATGATCTCACGGTTCGTGGGTTCAAGCCCCGTGTCGGGCTCTGTGCTGTCAGCTCAGAGCCTGGAGCTGCTTCAGATTCTGTGTCTCCCTCTCTCTGCCCCTCCCCTTCTCGTGATTTCTCTCTCTCTCTCAAAAACAAATAAACATTAAAGAATAATTAAAAATAATAATAATAAAAATTCGGGGCGCCTGGGTGGCTCAGTAGGTTAGGCGCCTGACTGATTTTAGCAGAGGTCATGATCTCACGGTCCACAAGTTCTAGCCACAGGTCGGGATCTGCGCTGACAGCAGAACCTGCTTGGGATTCTCTCTTTCCCTCGCTTTCTGCCCCTCCCCCACTCATGATCCCCCCCTCCTCCCTGTCTCTCCCAAAATAAATAAATAAATTTAAAAAATACAGTAAAAAAATACAAATTAAAGAGCAGCTAAGTTTGACTGTAGCCACTCTTTGGTAGGTGGCTGGGGAGCGAGCAGTGCCCTGGTCCCCCAGCACTGTCACTTCCTGCCCTGGCCCCTAGCCCAGCCCGGAGGGAGGGCAGGAGGGGCACCGGTGGGAGTGTGTGCTGGGGGTGTTCGGGGCAGGCGGCCAGAGGCCCCACCCGAGGCTGGCATTGCTGAGGAGTGGCTCTGTCTCCTCCAGGACTGGATGGGGGGGCGGGGAGGGTCTTGCCGGGGCTGTGCAGCCTTGTCTGGGCTCCCGTCTGTCGAGGAGCCCTTCGCTCCGCGGCCCGGGCCCCGGGGAGCCCTTCTCTCGGCGGCCGGGGCGCCCTTCCCTCGGCCGCCCTGGGCTTCGCCCGCAGGCCCCACGGAGCCCCGCCCCCTGCCCGCTGCGGGGAGGGGCGAGGAGCAGGGGGTGGGGCCCCGGGCTGACCACGCCCTCCCCGCAGCCCTCCCGCTGGGGCGGGAGCCGGCCCATCAACGTGAACCATTACGCCAACAAGAAGAGCGCGGCGGAGAGCATGCTGGACATCGCGCTGCTGATGGCCAACGCGTCCCAGCTGAAGGCCGTCATCGAGCAGGGTCCCAGCTTCGCCTTCTACGTGCCCCTGGTGGTCCTCATCTCCATCTCCCTCGTGCTGCAGATCGGCGTGGGCGTGCTGCTCATCTTCCTGGGTGTGAGGCTGTGCCGGGGGCGCCGCGGTGGGGGGAGGGAGGGTGCAGCCCCCAACTCGGCGGTGAGGTCAGGGGGCGGTGCAGCCCTCAGAGGGCGCCCGCCTCTGTCCCTCCACCCACCCGAGCGAGGACACAGGAAAATATGGTCTACAGGGACTAGCTGGTGGCCCTGCCCCTGAGGTGAGGGGCAGGGCTCACCTCCAGGGCTGGCTGTGTGACCTTGGGCAGGTACTTGGCCCCCCTCTCCTGGGCCTCAGTTCCCCCACCCATGCAGTGGGCACAAGTGGGGCTTTGGGCAGGTGGGACGATCACTAGGCCACCGCACGCAGTGCTTAGAAAGGCACTTGCCTGGGTGCGTTCAGCTACTTACGCCTTAAAATCCGCACCGGGCCTCAGGCCATCTTTTCTGCTCCGAGACCGGCGCCTCTGAGCTTCTGTTCGTGCAGAAGGGGCTGCGGGGCTGAGGCCACAGGCCTAGAACACAGCCCGAGCGAGGTGGCAGGCCCCAGGTGCCGCAGGCCCGGGTGCAGCATCCGCTCCCTTCTGCCCACAGTCAGGTACGACCTCAACAACCCTGAGAAGCATGCCAAGCTGGACTTCCTCAACAACCTGGCCACTGGCCTGGTCTTCATCATCGTCGTGGTCAACATCTTCATCACCGCCTTTGGCGTTCAGAAGCCCGTGATGGACGTAGCGCCCCGGCAGTAGGGGTTCAGGTGAGCCAGGGAGGGACTAGCCCGTCGCCATCCACCTAACAGGCGCGGGGGGGGGGGGTCCATCTCCACCACAAGACTGCTTGGGCACCCAGTGACCCACGATCAGAAACTTGTGACCTGTGTGGGCCCCATAGGGTGGGCGTCGCTGGCCGTGGGCACCGTCCCCAGGCTCATCCCCTGTCCTCGCTCAGAGGCGAGCACCCACCCACCCAGGGCTGCCCTACTCAGGAGCAGGAGCTGCAGGGTGGCAGGGGGACCCTGGTTCCGTGCTCAACAAAGAAGCCCCTGCACTGTTTGGAGCCTGTGCGTCTGCCTCAAGGGCAAATGCAGAAGGTCAGCAGGCCCAGCATGTGTTGTGTGTGTTGCACGTGGGGCCCTGGCCGGGGCTGCACACCACAGGTGCGTTCGGCCTTGGGCCCGGCGGCTGCTCGTCAGGCCTGCCCCAGAGAAAGGGCGAGGGCGGGCACTGCCGACAGCCAGCCACCTGCCCGGCGCCGGCACCCCGCGGCCGAATGGACAGCAGGCTGCCTGAACACCTGCCTGCGTGTGAGGTACATGAGAGCACACCTTCCAGAGGGGCCGGCCGGAGGATGCGGTGGGACCCCGGGAGCAGGCCCACACGTGGCCTGGCTGGGAGTGTCCATGCCCCACGGCCCATGCTGTGGCCGTGGCCCCATCTGGGGTCCAGCTCGCTGCCTGGCCACTGGCCCTGCTTTGTCGTCAAGTCCATCTTCCTCAGAACCCTGGGGATGCCAGCCTGTTCTCTTGCTCGCCGCATGACTCGGCTGTTTATTTATTGTCCCAAACACAGGCGTGCCCTTCCCTGAGCATCAGCCCAGCGAGAGTCACATAGGTCTGCTCTCGGAGGCCCCCCTTTAACCCCTCATAGTGGCCCAGGAGGGGAAACAGGCTTGCCCAAGGCAGAAGTGGGCCCTTCTGGCTCTGGAGTGGTAGTGGCTCTGAAGCTCGTGGGCTGCTTGCCAGGCAGGCTGCCGACATGGGATGAGCAGAATGGAGCTGAGCCCTCTCACCCCTCCTCTCTCTTCTTGGCAGATGCCCCTGGATCGCACCCGGCCACAGCCACCCAGGTCCCAGGAGCCGCCTCACCCTTGAGGCCCACGTTCCTGTGGGAGGCCCTTCCCGAAGCTGGAGGAGGCCAGGCGGGCCCACTAGACTGTGTCCTGGGATGAGCCGCCGGTGGTTAGGCCCCCGCAGGCCAGCGCAGGGCCCCTGCAGTGGGGCCCGGGAGGCAGAACTGGGGACGGGCCGTGGCTGGCATGGACACGCAGCCACCCAAGGATCAGGGCGAGAGGCCCGGTCGGCCTTGGCCTCAGGACGTTTCCAGAGGGACAAGGAGACCCCCACCCTCTGCCAGCATAACAAGCATCTGGGCCTTGAGCCCCCTACGCCGATGACCTGTGGCATCTGCGCTTCCTGACCCAGGACTCTGGACCTCGAGCACCCCTGGCCGTGGGCCCTGCCCAAGCCTTCCACCAGCAGTGATGGGGCAGTGCCCCCTCAGGGGCCAGAGTCCCCGCTCTTCTAGCACCAGTGACCAATAAAGCTGACGCATCTCCTCCCCTGTCTCAGGCCCAGACCCCCCAGCACTAGGCAGTCCCACTCGCGGGCTCCTTCTCAGGGATCAAGGGCCCCTTGGCACCTGGCATGTCAGGGTATGGTTTTGAGGCAAAAACCAGGCTCTCAGAGCCGCAGCTCCTGGCATCTTGTTTTAACTGGCCAGCGCGGAAGAGCCACGGGAACGGCTCATCCTGGGGCCCAGGGCTGACACCCCCATCTCTGTTCGCTCCGTGGGGAGCAGCCCGCAGCCCCACAGCCACTTGGGACACAGATTGTTGGCGGGTGCGCCAGCCTCTGGGGCGGCCGTGGCCCCGGTGAGGGGTGTACTCAGCGTGGGCTGCCAGAAACACCAGCGTGAACCTCCCAGAAGCGAGTTCGCGATACGACCACACATGATGACTGGATTAGAAAACCAGCCTTTCACAGTGCTCTCATCTACACTGCAGACCTGCCCGTGCACTATGCTCTAGTCTACACTGCAGACCTGCCTGTGCACTGTGCTCTCATCTACACTGCCCACGAGTTTGTGCGTTGCACTCTCGTCTACACTGCAGACCTGCCCACGTGCTGTGCTCTTGTCTACACTGCAGACCTGTCTGCGCTGCGCTCTCTACACTGCAGACCTCCCTGTGCACTGTTGCATCCCACGGGCTCTTTACAGCAGAGCAAAGCCTGCATACACGCTCCCCGCTCGGGCCCAGGCCTCTGAGCGCTCCCTCAGGCCTTCAGGGGCAGGGGCACGTGTAGGGCCTGTGGCTGGGGGGAGGGGCTGTGTCAGTGCTGCAGGAGGGACACTGGGCCTCCATCTACTTCGGTGGCTTTGGGGTCAGAAGCCAAGACCTGGACCCTCTGAAGAGGTTGGAAGGACAGTGTGCAGGGTGACCTTGGTGCAGGGGTGGGGGGGGCAGCCAGGTGTCACCACATGCCCTCAGGGCACTGGCCCTGTGACTCCTGACCTCATGGAAAGTTCCAGCACTCTCAGATTTCGTGCAGTCTCTCCACACCCACAACCTGGCTCACTGCAGTGTGCCCAGTGCTGCAGGTGAGTCACGCTGAGGGGGCTGAGGGGAGGCGGGCTGGTGCTGGGTGGGCCGCGACCCACAGAGACCCCTGAAGCACCAGATGTTGACTCTAGGACATCAGTCTGTCCTGAGGGTCCCCATGCTGGCTGGAGTCCCCTGCTCTCTTGGTCCACCCCTGTGACCTGCAGGGCCTGCCCCCTCGCGCTCTGCCCCCTCGTCCCCTTTCCTGGCCCCACACTGGCACCCCCTTGTGTCCTTGATTTGACAACACCCTCAGCCAGTCCTCCAGGTGGGAAACTTTGCAGCCCCAGGTCCCTCCCCTAAAAATACTCAGGTGACCCTGGTCAGCTCACACAAAATGATCAATAAACAGAAGTGCTGATGGGTAAGGTGGTCCAGGCCTGGGCTTTACCCAGGAAAAAGCGTGGGGAAGTGGATGACTTGAGGTCAAGAAGGGCTGGTGGCCACGGAGCCGGGGTGCTCCCGAGAGCATGTCCGTGTCCTGATCCGTGTGCGGGACAAAGTCCACAAAGAAGCACAAGGGGCAGGTGGGCAGAGGGTGGACACGTGTTCGCAGTGGAGCTTGATGAGGCCCCGCTGGGCAGGGCGTCCCGGGGCCTGGTGGTGCCGAGGTCACAAACTTGGGGGTGGCCCTGTGGGGGGGCTTAGCTCACTCCAGCTGCACTGCCGCGGCTTTGGCCGGAAGCAGCAGGAGTCGGGCTCACGTCTGTGACCTGTCCACGCAGTCAGGCCCTCCTGCCAGCCCCCACCCAGTGCACCCCATCTGTCTCCCTTGCCCCTCCCCGCCCCCCGCCGTCTCTGCATGTCCCGGGATGTTCCGCTGGCCCAGTCCTGCCCAGTGTCTGGCAAAGGTGGACCCTGCCCTGCACAACGCCCCTGGGGTTGCCAGACTGGCCTGCGAACTGAACCCCAGATGACTTAACTGAACTGAACTGAACCCCAGTGGACTGAGCCCTGGTCACCGAGCCAGCTGGCCTCCGAAGGTGCTGGGGGCACTGGGGACAGTGATAGATGGGTGGGTGTGCGCATCCCGGTCCCCCCGGCACTCCGTCCCCGGCGCCCCACGCCTCCCCACTCGCCGGCTCCCGGGCTCGGCGGCTGCTCTCCGGCCCCCGGATCCTCGCCAGCTCAGGTCCTGTAGGTCCTCCTGACCCTCGCCACCGGTCACTGTCACAGAGGCCACTCGGGTCGACCCCGCCTTGGGTGCCGTGGACTGGCATCGCCATCCACAGTGTCCCCCCCCAGGCCCGAGTGTGAGCCCTGCCCAACCCCTCCAGGCCTGCCTCGAGTCCAGGGCAGAGGGGGAGGCTCCTACCTGCCAGTCACGCTGAGGGCCCAAGGGAGGGCCTTGAGCTGGGGGGGAGGGGCCTCCCATGCACACCTTCCCTTCTGCTTATTTCCGGGCCATGGGTATGGCCTGCAGGTGCCACCACCTGTGTCCTGTGTCCTTGGCACCATGTGTGGCATACAGTCGGTGCTTGGTAAGTGCTGCAGACCTCCTCCTCACTCGTGAGCCAGGCGGGTCAAGTTACGAGTGAGTGAGTGAGGGGGGGACGGTGGGGGAAGGAGGTGAGCTCCTGTGGACGGAAGGCCCCCTTGGAGACACACTCAGGAAGGTGGGAAGGCGGGAGGCAGGGGGCCTCTCGGGACCTGGACGGGGGAGGGGCGCAGCCTGTGGCTCAGGAGCCTGAGGCAGGGAGCAGGGCTGCGTGGGGCGAGAGCGGCGTGTGCTCAGCCCGGGAGAGAGGCGGATGCACGAGGATGACGGGTGACAGGTGGGTCGTCCCTGGGCAGCGTCCCCCGCGAGGGGCCAGGCCAGCGCCTCCACCTCTCCCGGGAACGTGTGTCCTCTGGGGCTGGTCACTCTTCCCACGGTTTTTCTCTTTCTCTCAAGTATTTGTTTAAGGTGAGCCGTGGGGGGGCTGCCCCAGGGCGGCAGGACCCCCGCTCTCAACCTGATCCCGCCCAGACTCTCAGCGGGGAGACGGCCTCCGGCCCCCTTCCAGGAGGCTACTGCCGAGGGCCCCGCCCGCGTCCATGTGACCGTGGGTCGCGGGGCCCACCCGGTGGGAGGCTGATGGGACGGGGGGCTGGTCAGGCCCGGGGTGGAGCCGAGGTCTGGGAGCACACGGGGACAGCAGGACCCTTCAGCCCATCGCAGAACGCTGACCCGGGCCGACTGGTCCCGCGGCGTCAGCGCCTTCACCCGGACACCTGCAGAGTCAACGCCGCCCTCTCCCGGGAGGGAGCGCTGGGTTGTGCAAGTGCAGCTGCGTTTCCTGCTTCACAAACTCCAGCCGGCCTCGCCCGGCCCATAACCACATCCGCCGGGGGCAGGGGAATCCAGTGTCCAAACTCCCTCCACCAGGAGCCCGCCTTCTTCACCAGCACCCTGCCTCACACCGCCTCACACCGCCTCACACCGCCTCACACCGCC